GGGGGGGGGGGGGGGGGGGGGGGGGGGGGGGGGGGGGGGGGGGGGGGTTAGGGGAGGTGCAATAATCTGGGTCCCACCCTCCCCAGGATGTTATGATTAATGGTGTTCCCCTCTAAAGTCAACAACATGACTGTCAGCATGAAATGTATTTCTTTAAGTGGGTTTTTTTCACGAAGAAAACTGAGACTAAAATAGTAATTTACGCATGATTTGATCAACATCTGAATTCAAGTATCAAAATAGTAATGCACAGTGAATAGTATAAAAATTACACTATACTGGTATTCTTGAGGTAGTTCTATCTCTTTCAATCTGCAGCTGTCTGAGATTATGTGGTAGAAAGAATGTTGAAATGGCCTGTTTTGTGCTATGCAGAAAATCTTCATACTTTGTATTGTTCTTCGAAAATCGGACTACTTCAGCAACAGCTTCACGGGTGTCAGGTGGAAGGAGAGTCAGATCGCCCAAAACTCTGATACATACACCATGTTCCATTATTTTATCCCTTGAAAGAAATTGTTTAAATTATATATTGGGTTAGACATTTGGTACATTTATTAAGTATATATATAGTGAAGATATATATATATAGTGAAGATTAAGTAATTTGATATGTACAGAAACGATTAGTTAAATATTACATTAAGTTCTTTTGATGCCTTAGTTCCGTGATTAAGATCAGGTTTAAGTCGTCTAATGGCAAATCTAATGACACAGCTGATCATTGGTCCTTATTGCTATTTAAGGAAGCACTTGCCATTAGACGACTTAAACCTGATCTTAATCACGGAACTAAGGCATCAAAAGAACTTGTAAGATTTAACTAATCGTTTCTGTACATATCAAATTACTTAATCTTCACTATATATATATATCGATGTAATGTAACCTAGCATCATTCCTGATGATGACTGAATCTTAGTCGAAAGCTAGAATATTATTAAAATGTTTATTTTCGGAGTTACTATTGTTTTATATTTTAACCTAAAAAAGGTCATACTTTTCTTCCATAAGTTTGGCAACTTTCCGTTTTGTTAATTCCATCAGTCCATCCACTTCTTCCTTTGATCTCTTGAAATTTTCAATACTAAATGCATACACTGTCACTTCATAGATTCCTAGTTCAAAACACCATTGCAAAGTCTGTATAATGGAAAGAGGTGATAATAATGCATGGTGGATTTTAATTTATAATCCCAAGGGGTATGGTATGAGCAAAATGTAGGGTATTCTTAACAGAAAAAGTGCCTGTATTAGAGAGGTGTCTTTATTAGAGAGGTGTCCGTATTAGAGAGGAGTCCATATTAGGGAGTTGTCTTTATCAGAGAGGTATCTATGTTAGAGTGCTGCCTGTATTAGATAATTAGAGAGGTGTCTGTATTAGTGAGGTGTCTGCATTAGAGAGCTGTCTATATCAGAGAGGTGTCCATATTAAGCCCTGATTCCACGAGCGCTTTTTGTCAGCGAAATGCGAAATATTTCGCCTATTTCTTTTGAATTGCGACCACTCGAATAAATTATTTCTACTTGATTGCTCACAATTCAAAAGAAACAGGCGAAATATTTCGCATCTCGCTGACAAAAAGCGCTCGTGGAATCAGGCCTTTAGAGAGCTGTCTGTATTAGAGAGATGTCTTTATTGGAGAGGTGTCTTTATTGGAGAGGTGTCCGTATTAGAGAGATACCTGTATTGGAGAGATGTCCATATTAGAGAAATGTCTGTATTAGAGAGGTGTCTATATTAGAGAGGTGTCTGTATTAGAGAGGTGTCTGTATTAGAGAGGTGTCTGTATTAGAGAGTTGTCTGTATGAGAGAGTCCGTATTAGAGAGATGCCTGTATTAGAGAGGTGTCCATATTAGAGAAATGTCTGTATTAGTGAGGTGTCCATATTAGAGAGATGTCAGTATTAGACAGATGTCCATATTAGAGAGATGTCAGTATTAGAGAGATGTCCATATCAGAGAGATGTCTGTATTAGAGAGATGTCCATATTAGAGAGATGTCCATATTAGAGAGATGTTCATATTAGAGAGATGTCCATATTAGTGAGGTATCCATATTAGAGAGGTGTCTGTATTAGAGAGGTGTCTGTATTAGAGAGATGTCCATATTAGAGAGGTGTCCATATTAGAGAGCTGTCTGTGTTAGAGAGCTGCCTGTATTAGAGAGCTGTCCAAGTCCATATTAGAGAGATTCTGCATTATAGAGGTGTCCATATTATTAGAGAGGTGTCTGTATTAGAGAGATGTCAGTATTAGAGAGATGTCTGAGTATTAGAGAGATGTCTGAGTATTAGAGAGATGTCTGTATTAGAGGGGTGTCTGTATTAGAGAGATGTCAGTATTAGAGAGATGTCAGTATTAGAGAGATGTCAGTATTAGAGAGATGTCCATATTAGAGAGGTGTCTGTATTAGAGAGATGTCCATATTAGAGAGATGTCCATATTAGAGAGATGTCCATATTAGAGAGGTGACGTATTAGAGAGATGTTCATATTATTAGAGAGATGTCCATATTAGAGAGGTGTCTTATTAGAGAGGTGTCCATATTAGAGAGATGTCCATATTAGAGAGATGTCCATATTAGAGAGGTATCCATATTAGAGAGCTGTCTGTATTAGAGAGTCCATATTAGAGAGATTCTGTATTATAGAGGTGTACATATTATTAGAGATGTGTCTGTATTAGAGAGGTGTCCATATTAGAGTGCTGTCTGTATTAGCAAGGTGTACCTATTAGAGAGGTATTCAAAAATTTACGTGCAGAAAGATACTGAGCCTGGTCAACCGAGATCTAGGTGCAGGCCAGCCCAGTTAGAATATTAATGCAAGATGCACATTGGTATAAACAACATACTAATGTTACATCTTGGCAAAGAAGTGCTGGGATGCCTCGTGTATAGAAACACCTCATTTGATCAGGGGGTATAATAATATGCTGATGCAATGCTTCTAAACAAATATACATCAATACAATTCAAGTATTCCCTATACTTTATGTTGTACAAAATATAAAACTGCCAAGATTCAAATGCGCAAAATATTACTATACAAGAATATCAGATATTTATACCTCTGCGAGTTTCTGAAAGCCAGATTCGTGGCCCTGTGCGCGAGGCTGCTGCCTTTCTTTTGCAAAGCGTCTGTTGCCGTCCATTATAAATGCTACGTGACGCGGTATTTCGCCGCATTTTAGTACATTATTAAAGAAATCGCGAATACGGCTCCTCTTTTGATTTCCTTCACTCGTCCAAAACATTATCCACCAAAAAACGAAGCAAAAATATCAAGAATTTTATCTTTATTTTTCTTTTGAAATGTCAACACGTCGAATACTCGAATAAGTACTTCCACTTTGCCAAACTGAATTTCTTACGATGCACTTTCGAATTTTAATAAAATATTTAATCTAAATTTGTAAAATTAAATGTTTAATAACAATTAACAAATTACAGGGCAAATGGTAAAGCAGTTGTCGCAGCAATAAAGAAATAACATTCAACAAAAAGAGCATTTCTTTTTCCTCAAATCATCACCATTGGAAGCTATGAACAGTATCACAAATTATGACACAAAATGAAATGGGATTTTTATATTGAAAATGAAATTAATTTGAAGGGTTACATTTTTTGCAGTCGCAAAGACAGATTTGAACATACAATCCTTGAATTACTTCAGGCCTTTTGACTGTTATTCTTGTAAAATTGACCCTAAGAAATCCTATTAGAATCTACATTTTCTGAATTTTAAGTCTAGAAATTTCACCAAAAGTGGAAGCAGTATTCTCAAGCATCGCCGAGCGTGCGCAGTTCGTTTCGAATTCAACGTGACGTGACGTCATGCGGGTTAAATTTCAATGGCTTTGAATTAATTTTCACAGCTGTTTGCCGAGTTGAGCGATGTCATACTAACTGCCGTTGAATGTTAAACAAAACTCTCTCGTTCCTACGAGGCGAAAAAGCTTTAAAAGTGAAGTCTAGGCCTTTAGCTAGGCTTCCAGTATGTCTAACGTGGCGGGTAAAGCTTCTGTGGACGAAAATTTGAGGCGAGGTAAGACCGACTCGTGGACCATATACACGGTGAAACCCCGAGTCTTATTTCATGTTCTATTTCTCTGTTTTTCCATAGAATTGTACTTTCTGATAATAAAGTTCCTATCGGAAGGGCCTTGTACTTCTGCAGCTGAGGTAGGACTGTGATTTTGAGCGAAATTTAACGTTTTTAACGGCTAATAATTTATCGTGTCTTCACAGGTTTTGAAACGTGAAGTCGAATCACTTCAGGTCAGTGCCCCATTTTCTCTAATTCTCGTCCGAAAAGGGTAAAATTCATCCTTTATTCTAAATTAACCCAAAACTGACTTTACTACATCTAGCTCAAAATCTCACCAAATTTTGCCCGCTTTAAATCGTACTAAATTGCCAGTTTTCACCGTTTTTAACCCAGTTGAAACCCCTTGTTTTTAACTTTTTAGCTGCTACCAAAAGGTATCAATTGGTTCGGAGAAACAACGCCCCAAAACTTCGTAGACACGGTAAGGTATTTTGGAGTCGGGAATTTGCATCGCATGTTCGCGTGCGGAAATTCGAAGGAAATCGGCGAAAAATTCAGGGAACATATTCGGAGTTAAACCGTAAGCTTGTGAAGATTCACGTTGAATTAAGAACGGGTTTTTTAGGAGGGAATTATTGAGCGCGGTGTGTAATTCGTAAAAGATATAAGCGCCAGTTGAAATCGCATCATCTGCTGTTGCAAATATTCAAGTGAAATCGACACGGCGTCGCTACGCATGACAAACGGTGTCTAATTTCCATAAAGGTCAACACTCTATTGTTCTTCGGCCAATCACAACGCCGAAACGGGTATCTTTGTTGACATGCAGCTTAATAATTTGCATTTGTAAGGAATTCACGTTAAATTTATTGAAAAAATTGCCACTTAAAAAAGGCCGAATTACACATCGTTTTTAGCCGAGAAAACTATAAATCGTTAGGGACTGTGTTTTTTCCGTGTTTTGTTCGAATAAAAGCATTATTTAAAGGTTTAAAATGAAAGAAATTGTCATTGAATAGGCAGATTATGTGACTTTTGTTGGGCACATATTTGCCGCCTTGTATTGTATTTATCTGTTGTCTTGTAAGCGGTTGTAGGTGTCTATGTGTGTGGCGTTTTCTTTAATATAGCTATGTTTTTGTTTCTTAGTTTTCAACTCAATATACTCTGCCATGTTTAAATTTTATACCTAACTTTTGTATGAAATTCTATTTCAAGTGTTCAACTATTTTGTGAAAAATATTGATCACTTTATATCTGTGGCAACAGACATGATAAATGCTATCCACCAGACAGTAATTTTTTCCAGCCCTTGCAAAAATGCTTCAAAATATATTGAAGACTTAAAGTATGGGTAAGGACATCACAATTAATAAAAAGCTTTCCTTTTGCGGGAATATTAAATTTAAGAAAGATTGAACAAAACACAAGAATGCAGCTATGAATTAAATACAGTTAAAAAATTTTTAACTGTAAAGTGGCCGACCTCCATATGTTCTTGCAGTTTTAAAATATTATTGACAAAAAAGTGTCGTCGATATTTACAATTCAGCAGCAGTTCGACAGCATGTTTTTCCCAAAATAACAATTTGGAGGTGCATGAAATATTGATGCATTGAATGAAGAAAATCCACTTGTTGTAAAAATCTTTGATAGATACCTTTACAGGATATAGTAAATGATAACTTTTTGATAACCACTGACAAAAAATAGAACCATTGGCAAAAAATATGAATTGCTATCAATAATTTTCTCGGTGGCATAATTTGTCGCAGTTGTTGTTTGCTGCCAAAAATTATGAGGACTGCACCTTGTGACTGCCATTGAAATGTAAATATCACAATTGTCGCATTGCAACAGTTGTAGAATTAGGCTGGTTGCGATTTCTGCGATTGCAATAATGGGTCGATTCTTGTGATAATTTATAAAACTTTGCCGATGAAACAGTACATTACATAACAGGACAAAAACAAACGTACATAATGAAATACAGTACATGACCACAGCTGGGTGACCACAACAGCGAATAGCCAATTACTGTGGGCCCGACGCAAAACTATCATTACACATATATATACACATATGTATATACATATGTATATGTCTTGCGATTCTTGTGACTTAATTAATGTGGCGAAACACAAGAAGTGGACAAGAAATGGTGATAGACCAAGTGTTTTGGTAGCTTTTATATGTTTTCAGATTTCCAGGACCTACAAAGAATCTTGTAATGGATTTTGAATGAAATTGTCAATATTTCCAAAAGCACAGATTCTACCTCTTGCCCAAGAAAACAATGCACTATGTCCAGGGCCGGATTAACGTCGTGTAAGGCCCGCGGCAGATTTTAGCGCGAGACCCCTCAAAACACACAAAATTGTTAAATAATTGCTTTCAATATTTCAATTGATTAGCATCAATTATAAACAATTGCCTGCCTGGCCCAGTTGTTGGGTCAACAAGTATAAACAGGATCATATATAACAGATCAGCGCAACTGGAGATTACATGCATTGTATATTTTCCTGGGGTAAACTGCCAATCCTAGGGGCCCTAAATGCACAATGTCCCTAATTTGCGAGGCACCTAAAATGGGCGTATCCCAATAGAAAATAGGCGTGTTCTCGTAAACATGGGCGTGGCACATTAAAGCGCGAGGCCCCCGTAAGTGCGAGGCCCGCGGCATATGCCACATCTGCCAGGTGGTTAATACGGCCCTGACTATGTCATGTTTTTGTGTTGAAACATTGGGGAATGCTACTACATTCCTAACATTGTAGAACAGTCAAGCTAGAAGAACCTCCCTGCTTTTGTAGTCTGTTGACATTTTCTGTAATTTATTATGTATTACTGTAACGGTTACCGATTTATGGCCAAAGACTGATAAAATTCATATTTCATGTGTTAAAATGCAGTGAATATAATGCTACAAATTATCAAACAAAAACAAATAAAACTAAATTTTTGTTGCCATACTTTGGTATTCTCTAATATTTTGGTAATTGCTACAGAAAAACAGAACAATTTACAGAAAATTATTACAGAAATGGAAATGGGGAGGTTTTTGTATTTTGACTGTAATAGTTTGACAATTTAGCAGTGACTGTAATACGTGTAGGAATTGTAGTTGAATTCCCGAATGTTTTGACATGAAAACATGACACAATTTTTCAGGCAAGACAAAGAATTGATGGTTTTGGCAATATGACCTGAACTTATTGCCCCTGGGTGGAGGTGTCTGTTGTATTGTACTGAGTGTCTGTTGGGGGCTCTGCCCCCCCCTCCCCCAATGGGCAAAAGGACTGCCCTTGTGAAAAGCTAAGGTCTGGGCAGAAATGGGGGGAGGGGTGCAATGTGTGAATAATGATTCCCATCTCTTCTGTTTACCAATAAAAGTGATGTAGTCTTCCCTATCTAGAATCCTTAAATTCCGTTAAAAAAATTCCTACAGTGGTTGAAAGCACACTTGAACTCAAATTTATGCGCATAGCAGCAGTCAAAGTTCATTCTTTTCATTACAATATAATTTCCACTTGAAAAACGAAGACATTGTGCTATTTTGCTGCTGTATTTATGTGTACAGTACAATGTTTACAAAAATATTTTTTCGATCTAACAACATTAGGCGACTTAGAAATGGCTTTTGCGGTAGTAACTAATTTTCTTCAAACCTAAAATATGTGAAATAGCATTCTAATGAATCTAAAAATTTTCTGGAGGGAGCATGCTAGATCTCTCGTGCCTTTGGGGCTCACATTCTAAATGCCATGAAAATCCCCCCAGTTTAGTTTACTTATACCCTGGCTATGCCACGGAGACTGCAGAGATTCCGAACATTAAATAATGTTAATCATTCTCTATATAGGCTGTAAGTAATCCCCACATTCCAGGAGATTTCTTACAAAAAATATGCGAGCGTCTGTTACCTTTGCTGGAGCAAACAATCCCGCCAAGCGTGAAAGGAGTGTCGTCATTACTTGGAGCAGGTCGACAGTCACTGTTGAGACCAGCTCAAGGTATAGCATTTACCAACTAATTTTCAATCTGTCCAACATCATTTTACTCTTTCTAATGCCAGACAATGGGCGATTCTGGCTATAGATTAAATTTTGATCTAGGCAAGAAGAACGAATTCCAACACCACAGCTAGAAAGAGCGTCTTAGAATGAGTAAGACTGCAAAGTTTGGTTGCGAAATGTTGTAAAATATAGCCCTGTGAAGTTCGCAAATTTTGTATATATTTGTATTACGCGCGGTAAAAATAACCACTTTCGGCTCAAAATCATCTATTTTACCAGTCAAATTGTACTATGTTACACCTAAATAAACCCAGCGTGTCCAATAAGCCCCCCCCCCCCTTCTACCACTCCTGGAGCAGGAACCAGCTCCTGGAGCTGGTTCCTCAAAGCCAGTTTAGTGCTAACCCTTGGTTAAGATTTAATCTGCTGTTTTAGTAGTTTATGTATTTCTGGATGTATGTTTATTTAAAAACTTCAGAGAGGACTACTCCAAGACAAGATTTCGAAAGAAATTTTTCAAAATTTATAAACAAACTTTTGGGAAATTTTTTCAAGTTTTAGGTAAACCTAGGGTTATAGCTAACCGGCTTTTGAACAACTGGCTCCTGGATCTCTTGATCAACTTGATAGTGGATTTATAATACAATATTATGGTGAATTATTGTTTTCATTTGTGCTATAGATCCTGGACATGTCCTGACGTCCAATCATCTCACAGTTTGTCGACATGGAGCGCCCATTGCACCTGGTTTTAAAACAAGGAACACATTTAATTTAAGTGAGTCACACTCCAATGTGGGTACTGTAGCTGTGTGTCAGAGCCCCCCTTAGAAAGCCTTCAACTTGATCTGATTGAGCTGTGTCCTTCACAATAGATGACTCCAGATATACACTAAATTTTGTTGTAGGCAAGAAGACCAAAATCCATCACCACAGCTAGAAAGAGCATGTTAAAATGAGTAAAGTTGCAAAGTTGGTCGCGAAATGTTGTAAAATGCGGAAAATATAGCCCTGCGAAATTTGCAAATTTTGTATTAATTTGTATTACGCACGGGAATTTGCACCACATTTAGGTCGAAAGTGGTGCATTTTACCGTGCGTAACACAAAATTTGCAAATAGACCTTTCCCCTTATGAGTGAAATTTTGATCTAGACAAACCTGGACAAAAATTTCATCACAGCTTGAAAGAGCATCACAAAATTAGTAATATTCCGATGTTTCGTTGCGAAATGTTGTAAAATGCGGATAATATAGCCTTACGAAGTTTGCCGTTTTTCAGTCATTTTGTATTGCAAATGGGAAATTGGTAATCAGTTTGATCATCTGATTTTCAATTTCCCGTGCATAATACAAAATGAATGAAAAACGGCAAACTTCGTAAGGCTATATTTTCCGCATTTTACAACATCTCGCAACCAAACTTCGGAATGCTGTGATGAAATTTTTGTCCAGACTTGTCTAGATCAAAATTTCACTCACTCAAAAGAGGAAAGGTCTATTTCGCATGGCTATATTTTCCGCATTTTACAACATTTCGCGGCCAAACTTTGCAATTTTACTAATTTTAACATGCTCTTTCTAGCTGTGGTGATGGATTTTGGTCCTCTTGTCTAGATCAAAATTTAGTCTATAGCATGGAATCGTCTATTTAGCTTAATTCAAATGATTAGCATACAGCCACTTTCCTACTTGCCATTGCAAGGTCGTCCAGTCGTCATATCACAAATACTTCTACTTTTCAGCAAATGTTGTAAATGCAAGACAAGCCAGTGGGACCTTTTGCAAAAGAAACTTTCTCCAACATGGGTTGTTTTTCAAAATGTCAATGGTATTGTTAAAGTTGTGATATAAGTAGTATCAGGGTGCGATAATTCAAAATGTTTAGGCGTACCTGACTGGTACGCCAATGGTTGTTGCCGAGTACTTGCGCTAGTACAAACTCAGTACTCAATGTGTATTTAGTCTTCAAAATAAGGTTCATAAAATATTCATAGGTTTCTGAAAAGTATATGTTCAGACTACAAGGTAGAAAAAGAGCACAATTACAGACATTACATATACAAACAATCGACTCCAACGTTTTTTTGTGCCATTAATCCAATCGTGTTTCATGCCAAGACATGTCAGACACACGATATAGCAACTAAATTACGGTATTGAATAAGCCCATAAAAAATACTTATGAACGAATATAAAGCCCTGGGCAAACTAGAAAACATTGTTGTGGAAACATTTGTGATTCTCGATGTTTCCTCCAATGTTTCCCTGTTTGCCCACCCGTGGAAACATTGTTGCGGAAACAAAATTTGCTTCCCGAGAAGCAAAAATGTTTCCTAGCGAATTCAGAAACATTTGATGTTTCCCTATGTTTCTCACTAATGTTTCCTAGTGTTTTCCGACTCTGGGAAACATGGCGAAACATTGGTAGGAAACAATGTTTCCGCAACAATGTTTCCTAGTTTGCCCAGGGCTTAAGCATAGGGCTTATGTTCGGATGTTTACAGTAGTATAACCATATTAATATGTCTTTTTTAACAGCATCGAAGGATCTTGGGTCATTTATCAGCTGTTTACTGTGTGTTGTTTGATCAAACTGGTCAATCCATTATCACTGTAAGTTTCCTAGTATTTGTAAACGTGACATTGTATACATATGTCTGAAAAATCCAGAAGAATTTATTGTCCGACCCACTCGTGAAATTGTCCGTAGAGAGGAAACCACTGGACATTCTGTCCGACCGAGAGTTTAATGCTTGTCCGACCCGAGTGAATTGGTGTCTGACCTAACTGTAACTTTGTACAACGCAAATCAAAATGTACCCTAGTCCAGGACTAGGGGCTCGTATGTTAATTGGAGAATCAGGTAGTGTATAAAATGTGAACTGGAAATGTGTAATCAGGTGCGGGGTTTTCACCGTGGGGTTCGGAAACTCATTGCCAAGATTCAAGTGACTTTTCCAAATTGTGCTGATATTAATTTGCATCTGCATTCAAACTTATTTCCAAGCCAAACTGAACTCAAAGTCATCGGACAATGGCCAGGGTCTTAGCTAGGATTTTAGATCTTGGGCGTGTTTCTAATGACCAGGGCGTGCACATGTCAATTACTTTGAATAGCAAAATAATGGCTCTAGTTATGCTCGCCAACAACAATGCCTGTGGTTGTTCTATGCTTTGCAGCCAAATACAAGGCGAGCATACGCTCATATTGCGCACTGACAATTAAGTTATTTCAACAAAATTAAAACCATTTGAACACCATACAGTTCCCATTATCCATCAAAACATTAAAACATCACGGATCACTTTTGCCAATTCAACAACAACAGTAGATTCTACAAATTTTCTTGACGTAAATAGGAAGAAATTCTGTCTGTTGTAAGTATAGCACCACCTTATTTTATGAACCTATATACACAGCCTTATATAAATAGTG